AGGCAATAATTTCTAAGTAAGGGTATGTCTACACAGCAGCATTATTTCAGACTAACTGACATTATTCCAAAATAACAAAGAGCATGTTTACAGTGCAAGCCATTATTTCAAAATAATGGCGAACTGCGGAACTTCTTACTCCGACTCTTGTAACCCTCATTTTATGAGGCATAAGGGAAGTTGAAGGAAGAGTGTTCTTCCTTCAACTTCCTGCTGTGTAGACAACGCCAAAAGCTGAGTTAAGCTATTCAAATTAAGCTGTGCAATTGACATAGCTCAAGTTGCGTAGCTTAATTCAACTTTTGTCCTGCTGTGTAGACGTGGCCTAACAGACACATGTTGTTCAAACCTCCAGTAAATGCTCCCATTAACTACTTAAGAAAACTGACGAGTGCTGCATCAGATGAAAAAGCTACAAGTAAAATGGTGTCTTATTCTCTCGTGGAGGGAAGTACCCATATATTGTAGCTAAGAAAAACAGAGAGAAAGTTGTTACAGTGCATAAGAAAAGTGGCAGATGGTCCAAAATAGAGCCTTGGGTTTTTTCCTCATAGAGCAGCGGTAGGCAATAATTTTTGATGGGGAGGCCACTGCAAGAATTTGGTAAGAGGTCAAGGGCTGCGCTCTTTCATGATCTCAGTGGAGGAGGTGCAAGGTCTGAGATGGAGGTTGGATGCAAAAGGAGTCTTGAGGGTAGGGGATTGGCATGCAGGAGAGGTGTGGGATCTGGGAAGGTGTTTGGCTGAAGGAGGGAGTTGTGACCTGAAGGAGGGGTTTAGGAGGGGGCGCGGGGTCTGGGAGCGGTTATGGGTGCAGGAGTAGGAGTGAAGAAGGTTTGGGTTACATGGAGGAGGAGTGGAGGAGGGGTAGAAGGTTGGGAGGGAGGGAAGGGTTAGGGTGCCAGAAGCAGGCTCTGGCTAGGAGACACTTACCTGGGTGGCTCCCAACCAGAAGTGTAGCTGGTTTGTTGTCAGGTTCTCTGCTTCCATGCCCCTGTGCTGGCCATGTGTAGCTAAGATTGAATGTTGTAAGCCTGGAGGGGGAAAGGGTACTTTGTGCGCTGTCTATCCTGCAGACAGACAGCTCCCATTGGAAACCGGCCAGTGGGAGCTGCAAGATTTTGCTGGGGGTGGAGGCACTGTGTAAAACTTCTTCCCCACCTCCCCCAGGCTTGCAGCATTCAGAGAGCTGCTCTGAGCAGGGGTGGAGCGGGCAGGGAGCCTGGCAGTGGTTCCCGCAGGCCGTATTTGGCAGCTTGGTGGGCTGGATTTGGCCTGTGGACTGGATTTTGTCTGCCCCAGCCATGGAGTAAAAATCTAGTGATCAAGGATTCAATCTTTTTTTCTTAAACTGTTTTAATTTTTAAAAAAATGACAACACCCTACCTATATACAGCTTGTTCATGGACAATAAGGGCTAAATATTCATCCCAATCTTTCTTGTAAGTGCAATTTGCAGCCACAGAATTCACCTGAATGTATTTTGCACCTGTAAAATTTGTGGGTGGGTATTTTTGCAGGTGCATATCAGGTTGTTAACCATTAAATATTATTTTTGCACCCTGGTTTATAGCAACTGACCATAATTCAGTAAATGTGAATAAGCAAGTGAACAAAAATACCTCTATATTACTACTTCATTTCTGTTTTCCAGTTTTTCAGTCCTCTTTATTTTTATGAGCTGCTAAATGAGATGGAGTAGAGACTGCTTTCTTTTCTGAGTTATGTACATTGTTGTCACTTATAATAAAAATGGTAATTACACATGGAAATATGTGACTGCACATTTTACTAATGCTAAAAATGAAGGAGGAAAACTTGCTTCTTTCAAATGTATGCCAAAAGCTTTATTACAAAACATAAAGGAAAAATTAAATGAAAAACTGGAAAAACTGGAAAAATGAAAAAAATGGAAAACTGAATCTGTACTCAGCTTAAAGTGCACCCTTTAAGGAGTAAGCTGCAGCATATATTAATTACACTGACTAGAGAAGTCCATGTGAGGTATGTCTGATGAGTTGGGATCTTCATAGTCATACTCTTTTCTCTCTGGGTAGCCATTGAAAAGCTGAATGAAAAGCTAATCATTTACAGATACCAAAAGCTGCTTGATTTTTAAAATCAGTTGTTGGAATGGGCTGATTTTCAAGAGAAGCTGAGCACTCTTTGATGTCTGTGGATGTGGAAAATTCTCAGCACCTCTGAAAATCAGTTAGTGACCCACTGGTATGAACAATGGGTTGTGCAGTTTTTTTACATTGATGACAGTTTAATTTGTTCAGCTAATTTGATTTTGAAATTCTTTCGTCGAAGCTTCTGTAGTACAAATGGTGTTTACCAAGTGACATTTTTTGTTGAGTGCCTCAATCAAATTCCATTTTTTAGTGGAATCAGGTGGAATTTGAGCCTCACAATTACTATGAGGTGAGAAGAACAACTCATTGATGAGAAATATCAGTGCTTAGTACCACTCTCCACAGTGCAACATGTAGACTGGAGTTAGGAATATCGTTTGGGCTCCAGACTCACCAATTATCTCACCAGAAAGTTTCTAAGTTTGTCCTGCACCCCAGTCACAGAAATTAAGGGCTAAACTCTATGTCTGGATGCAGGTCTTGGGAACCGCAGCAATCACACTTATGCTGTGGGTGATACCAAATCAAAGCAATTTTTATTACGGTGTGGATTAAGATTTCACACCATAAAATGCCCAAGGCAGTGGCTGCATAAATTGATTTGTTCGCCCTGGATGGTAGCATAAATGCAACCAGAGTATATAGTTGCAATAATAACCTAGTATAACACCAAACTCTCACACCTTCCTGGAGATCCTGAGGAGTCAGCCTCATTCTGTTGGTGAAACAAGGGTCTCAGTGAGAGATAAGAGAGTATTGTAGCAAAGAAAACTTGTAAGAGTAGACTTACAAGAGTACTAATACTGTAAAGGAAAACAAAGGAGAGAGTTTGAGGAAGAAAATCCTGCTCCATGCTAATTGCCGTGGGGTGTCATAGGCCTTCTTGTGTCACCTTCTTGTGTCACCTTGTGTCACCCCTCAAGGCCAGAAACAAATTTCCACACCCTACGAATATGAGGGTGCACTCATTAGATTGGAGAATTAAACTATATCAGCACACTGGCCTTTTGTGCTTTGACCTGACCTAGCTGGAAATTTCCACACACTATTATCTAGCTATAATTCCTTTAAAAAATCCTAAATATATTAACTGTTACTTATAACCAATTTATACTACTGCTAAAGCCAACTTCTTCCAGGATAAGATCCTAGAATAGGATAAGGAAAGTATATAGGTTTCCAGGCTACAAACATAAAAGTTAGACTTCTTGTGCAGAATAGCAAACTCTGACATGAGTTAGTGATCATTCCCCTTCACACCAGGGACCCAGAACTTGCTAGAACAGACAATGTGGGAAAGCATTACTGAATCCATGGAAACTTAACCTCCAAGTGATGCTGTAGTGGATTTCTTTTTGTTACTTTTGCTGCTCTCATAAATGAAAGACCTTGTAGTGAATTATATTAATTGGAATTACTAGTAGTACTACACCTGGGAGCTGTGAAATGATGATAAACTTGAGTCAGATTCCTTTTGCAAATTGTTTGTGAGATAGCTTCATAATCTTATTAATACTGACTGATCCTTTGTATTAGGCTTTCCCAGGGATTGGTGGCATCTAAAGATTTAAAACCGTCTTGGTCAAGGATGACCTAAATTCTGATAGCTTTTGTTATGCAAATCCTCACAATCAAAGGTCATCCTCTGGAAAGTTAATGAGCTCAGATATTCTGGCTCTATCTCAAGCAAATGCATATGTTTTTGAAAATACTTTCTAAGTGGTTGCCCATGGTTATACAAATAGTAACAGAGTTAGGAATAGAACATAGGAAGTCTGATTCCCACAACAAATCAATAGGATTATATTCATTGGGCTACATTCTGAAGAATAACATGGTTTGTCACTTTTTAACTGCCTGGATCAGGAGACAAAACACAGTTCCACTGTTGCCCAATGTACTAGCTCTGGCCTTTCTAAAATTCTCATAATTGGGATGGTGACACTTCTCAGTACATTGACTTGTCCCATCACCTTGCGCAAGATGCAGCAGAAAACAATAGAGAATAGACTCATCAAGTGAAAAATAATCTCTCATAGAGCCATAAGGATTTGCTGCTCTTCAAGGTAAGCTTAATGGGGAAACCTTAGTACTTATCAGGAAGCTTTGTAACTTAGTAGAGAGGTTGGCCTTCTCTGCTGTTCAGATCTTAATGAGTGAACAGCTGGCTAGAAATTCTAATCTAAACACTTAGTAAAATGATGTTTTTAAGAGCCAGGACCATTTAGAATGAATGGATCAGCATAGAATTGATTGGGGTCACTACTGTCTGTAAAGCATTGATTGGGGTCACGACTGTCTTATGTCTGGATTTCATCTAGATCCTAAAGTCACAGCCTCCGGTGCAGGGAGGCTTTTTGCAAAAACACTGTGTGGAAAGCAGTTGCCTGGTTATCAATCAGTGCCATACACTTGATATATTTTCTTAGGGCCTTATCCTGCAAAATGCTGAACACCTTCAGCTCCAAGTGAAGTAAGTGGGAGTTGAGGACACTCAGTTCCCATCAGGACCTGGGTCATTGCAAATTTAAGGGGTTATAATTTATTTGTTGTATGTAGAGTTTGTTGTAGCAGCACATTAGTTTAAGGTTTTAGTGATATTTAATAGACTGAGATGCTAATTCAACTGGGGAATACAGTGCACTATATTTTAATATGTGTATTATTTTACTTTGTTTACTATTAATTTCCACCTATCAGAATCCAGAAATCAATACAACCTTTTGATTTTGGTATCATTTAATATCTGAAACTATTTGTGTGCAGAACTGTGATTAATGCTTTCTAAAATGGGATTAGAGGATAAAAGGGTTAAATCTCAGCCTCTGTCTCTTTCTGATTTGTGTTGCCTTCCCCTCCTTCACAGCTGTGGACATGGATGGAAGATCTGCAGAAGGAGCTCTTAGAGGATGTCTGTGCTGACTCGGTGGATGCGGTTCAGGAGCTTATCAAGCAGTTTCAGCAGCAGCAAACAGCCACCCTGGATGCTACCCTCAATGTAATTAAAGAAGGCGAAGATCTAATCCAACAGCTCAGGTATGTTTTCTGCCATGGGAGAGATGTCAAGAAATTTGGTGAAGCATTGTGCATTAGATGCAATTTAATGTGTGAAATGTAACTTAGAATTTAACAGGAGGATTCATTCACTGCCTTTTATATTTATGATGATTCAGGCTCCTATAGTATTTTGTTGGAATTCCAAAGAGTGTTTTGTGGAGACTAAGAAGAATAATCGATGGATCCCAATGGGTTGCTATATCTAATGGATTGGTACCTATATAGATTAAATGTTTTTCAGGTGAATATTTATGAGAGAATATTTACAGAAGATTGTTAAATGGTTGAGAGTGGTTGATTGTTAAATGGTTGGCCTAGTAAATTATATGACTATTCTTGCTGTATGAAAGCTGTATGCCTGTAAATAAAACCTACATAGCTATTTATTAGGTCACAGTATTTCATTGTGCATAGAAGTACATGGTTCCATGGAAGGTTTATTCATGCTGTCAGATTGTTCTTGTATTAGCAGTTGTTTTATAAATTAAAGCTGCTCTTTATACCCATTTTAGAATGTGCAAGTTGACTGACTTGAAGAAATGTTTCTGTTCTTTCAGTAAACACGAGTTTCTTAAACACTGTTTCTATCCCATGTGAACATATCAAGAAATTCCATTCCAAGAGCCTCATTGTGCTCTCATTGACACTAGTTTTACACTGGTTTAACTTTGACCTCAGTGGTTTTTTATTGATTTTTCCAAATGTGACTGAGAATCAAACCCTCTGTTTTTGTATTTTGAATGTTATTCTGGTGTGGAGAATCTTCCAGTATTTGCCAGGAATGTAACCACGTGATCATCACTAAAATTGAAGATACGTTGTAACTTGTTTAATAGGATCTGACTAAATAAGATTTTTGGCATTCACGGTGGTACACGTCTCGAGTCTTCTATACGGGATCTATTGATATAAACTACATCCCTCGCTTCCTCCATGTGCAGCTATGTATATTCCATGAAAAGACCTTTTGTTATATATGGTGTAGCTATACAAAGCTTGAATATAATTCAGCCTTATGCAGCTATAGGAATGGGGGTGGGCAGAAAGAACATTGTAAATGACTCTTCCTTAGGAGGGATAAGGGGCCCCTCCATAGTAAGCTGGCAGCTGCAGAAACCCATGTGGCCTAGGGGAGTGGGCACTTGCCTGGGGAGGGCAGGGTCATGGGTTCATGTCCTGCATTTCCAGGGTTTGGTCCAGTCAGGATAAGACAAACATTGTAAATGATTCTTCCTTAGTGTACAGTTACACAAGATTTACCTGGATCACAGGTAAGCCTTTTGAGTGCAGGAAGGAAGAACAGGAATTCTTTGCTCGATATTTCTTGCTGTGAGCCAATGAATAAGGAAGGATAGAAGTAGGAATGGTCTTAGTTCCACAGACTACAAGCTAGGGGAATGTACTGTGTTTGGTAATAAGGTATCTCAATGTGCTTCCCCATGGAACTGTGCAAAACAGGAGTTTCAAAGTAACTGTGTTAGGTTGCAATGCTTGTACAGGAGTGCCAGTCTGCTGCTGATGCAATCCCATCAACTGATGTTTTAACATTTGTTTGTTTGTTTGTTTGTTTGTTTGTTTGTTTGTTACCAAGACAGAATCACCGATTAATAGGGACTAGAAATGGCAAATGTCTGCTGGTTCATCTGCTTCATCCTACTAATTACACTGCCAATTCAGGGTTTTTCCTTACCGTATAATTTAATCTGCTTCAAGCTATCTGATTTTAAATGTCTCAAGCAACACAGCTACTACTGCGTACTGTAGGGGGAAAAGAAAACAACTTCATTCTGAATTTTACTTATTTTAGCTTAAGCACCAAAACTTTGGCACACAATTCTGTCTTCTACATGTCTCTTGCTGAAGATAGGTAATGCTACAGTGGCAAATCTAATGGGAGAATTTAGCTCTTAATGCCCTCAAAAGCTCATTTATCCATAAAACCCCACAGAACAAAAATATATTAAAGAACCCAAGTTCTTTACGTTTCTGATTCCAAATCTCTAGAGTTAAATGTGAGAGAGCTGATAAAGAGGAAACTGACAATACTGAAAATAGTTTCTACCCTGTGTTTATAAGACACAGCTGTCTCAGGATCAGATTGTTGCATTTAGGTAGAGCCCTGCCATTAAGATTGTACAACCTGCTGCTCCTGATTGGTTGGACTGCAGAGTAGGGAGGGGCATGGCCTTTTCTTCTCTCTGCCCCCTTTGGGATGATGTGTGCTATGGGTGCATAGCAGGAGCAGTTCCTGATTTCTCCTGGGAACATGGAGTGTACAGTGAGGGGAAGATTCCTTGAAGCTTACCCATCACCCTGGGCACCTACACAAGGGCAAGTCACAATCACCCTGGGCACCTACACAAGGGCAAGTCACAATCTGTCTTTTAGTATTTTAAAATACTTACACTGTTTTAAAAAAGCAGTGTTGGAATTTTGTCCTGGTTATGTTCTATTCTGAGTAAGTAATCAAGGGGAATCAGAAGAATCTTATTAGGCTAAAATACTTCTGACTCTTTTACATTCACTAGAAACAACACAAATAGTGGCATAATTTAATTTAGCAGCTTTAAGGATGATGCCTCTGAGACAGGCTGATTGCAGAAAGAAATGGGTCATTTGGACGAGAATTAAATGGGATTGCCAGTCAGACTCCTCAAGAGATCAGTTCAGATTTATGTGCCATTCTGCCTTCTTCCTCTCCCCTCCAACTCCTTTTTAGTGTACCAGGGTCAAAGTGTCATAACATATGACAAGATGTACTCATTGTTCTGATTTTGTGTTGCGTTCAGGAAACACAGGATTTCAACAAGCAGAAAAAATGAGCATTGCATACACCTTCCTCCAGCCCTTTGTGCTTAGGCTGGCTTCTCAGCTGTGCACAGAACTGAGAGTGTTTAATTCTTGCTCTTTGCTTGCATTAATGCTGAGCTTTAACCATTCTCCCTGCCTTGCCACAGGGACTCAGCGGTATCCAACAATAAGACTCCACACAATAGCTCCATCAGCCACATTGAATCTGTCCTTCAGCAGCTTGACGAGGCCCAGGTACAGATGGAAGAGCTCTTCCATGAGCGGAAAATTAAGCTAGACATCTTCCTTCAGCTCCGGATTTTTGAACAGTACACCATTGAGGTAAGAGCTGTCTGGGTAATCTATAAAGGTAGATCTGTGGTGGTTGGTGGTGACTACGTCTCTGACTAATATTCTGCCACGTTACACAGAGCTCCAGGGAATCACAGAAGATTTTGATTATACATAGATGTCTGGCAGAATTAGGAGATGAATAGAAATCAATTGTTAAATTGGAAATTTAGAAACCAGTAATATGCTTTTGTGATATACTAATAGAGTCTGAAGCAGGTTCATGTCCGCCAAGCTGACTGTATTCAGCATATCTGAACACTTTGGTGATCAATTTTATGGCATGGATTGTACAGTGGTTTACATATGCCTGTCATACACACCTGTCTTTTGCCAATCTGAAAGTTCATGATCTTTTGCAGGTGAGATTTTTCTCTTTAAAGGCATTTTATGGCTTTGAACACCTCGTGCAACAAATTATTAAACAAATGAAGGGTTCTCTTAGAAAACATTGCAGGAACAATAGTTGTTTTTCATAAAGGGGAAAAAGAGAAATAATGTGCCAGAAGCCTTGTAGTTCTTATCAGGTCATTATATGTTCCTGTAAGAAGATTAAAAAAGAGGTCTTATATTTCTATCTTGTACTCCTTTTTTAAATCAAATGCTGTTGGAGGGAAAACCGTTATTAGTACATTACATAAATGTGGTTTGCTTAGACTGTGTAATTTTAAACAGATTTTTAATTAATCTGAATAAATATTTACCTGTACATCTGATTGAATGTGATACTAGAGGCTTGAGAAGTTAGTTAATTTGTATCTCGTATATTCTGGAACAGAGTGTTTTGTACTTGACCTATATGAGGTATCAGCTTGCTACTATATCTTACTTGTGGTTGTTCAACGATACCTTGGAGAGTGAATACATCTGTTAATGTGGCACCTTTTTAAAGTGTTTTATGATGATAAATTCCCAAAGATATTGCATTTAATTCAATAGATGTTCTGATGGACTATATTGATAGTTAATAGAAACTTTAGAATGCTATATAACACTTCGTAGGTGACATTTTATTTTAAGTTATGACAAGAAATTGTGTTAAATTATAATAGATGGAAAAGCTGTGAATGCAGATTCTTAGATGCACTGATCTATAGCAATGTGCAACAGATACAGTACAGACTAAGTGAAAAAAGATGCATGGCACAGGTCCTTATGTGAGCAGATCCTGAAGTCTGTGTTGTGTTTCTAAACCAAGGCATTTGATGGACCTGCATACGATTCCAATGACTTTCCTGGAAACTGTCCTATAGCTTTTAGTCTGATATATGCATTTGGCTCTGTGATAGTCCCCTTTTGCCCTGTCTTGTCAAACTCCATGTTGTCTACTCTCCCTGCCACTCTACCAATGTTCACAGCCTTGTCCATGTGTTTCTCAGCTTCTCACAGTTTCATACCTTATTTCCCTTGGTCCCCTATTATAATACAAGCACCTAGATAATTCTCATGCTAATTCACAAGATAATTCTTTTCTGGGGTGGAAGGCTGGGTACCTCGGGATGTCCCTTCCTATGGATGCCTGTGTAAGTACAGGACCTGTCAGAGGTTTGTGGCTTGGCAACAGCATCACAGAGTGTGAGGTATACCCCAGATTAGTGGGACAGAAGGCTCAGCAGCCCTACAGTCCAGGTTGCACTCCAAGAACTTCAGAAAGATATTACCTCTCACACTGTATCCCCCAGTGTGATACAGGTGTCTGGATAGTTGAAGTCCCCTCCACGCACACACCGATGATGAGGGACTTCAATTATCTAGACCAGTGGTTCCCAAACTTTTCGGCATCATGCCCCCTTTTTGATTTTTGAGAAACCCTCGCACCCCCCTCCCAAAAATTAGCAGCAAAAATTGGGGTGTGATTGACGGGGGGTGCCG